TAAAGCAAGATGAGCACTGCAACCCCAGAGTTGTTTGTGACTGGACTTAACTGTCAGGGGTCCCTTTACCCTTTACCTTTACCTTTAAAGAGAGATATACAGTGGTACCTCGGGTTAAGTAAAGTACTTAATTCGTTCCGGAGGTCCATTCTTAACCTGAAACTGTTCTTAACCTGAAGCACCACTTTAGCTAATGGGGCCTCCTGCTGCTGCCGTGCCGCTGGAGCATGATTTCTGTTCTCATCCTGAAGCAAAGTTCTTAACCTGAAGCACTATTTCTGGGTTAGCAGAGTCTGTAACTTGAAGCGTCTGTAACCTGAAGCGTATGTAACCCGAGGTACCACTGTAGAAGAAATCATTGTGGTTAGGGTTCATATGTATTAAGAGCTTCATATGTCCTTCCATAGCTGTCAACATTTCCCTTTTTAAAAGGGAAATTCCCTTATTCCGAATAGGATTCCTCGCAAGAAAAGGGAAAAGTTGACAGCTATGTGTCCTTCATGTCAGTAATCCATTCAAAATCCCTGCAAAATGGGCCAATATTTTAAACCTCACTTTTTAGATGGGGCAGGCGGCTGAGAGATGGGAGCTTTTGCATCATTCCAGTGAGCTCATGGCTGAAGCTACAGGAACATTTCAGCTGCAATAGTCCTGGCACCTCACATCTCCCTTAGTTAAGGCCACCTCAATAAATGATGCCCCATTTAAAGAGGGGCCCCCATAGGCACATTTATTGAGGTGGTCTTAACTAAGGGAGATGTGTGGGGGCCCCTCAATAAATAGCAGCATCAGGAAAAGGAAGAGTTAAACTTCTTCCTCTCCACCCACCATGCTCCTGAGGCTGTTTTGGCTGTTCCTACATACCAAAAAAGTTGCAAGTTAATTGCATTCAAGTGATTAATGTCTCCTCTGGTTTGGCCCTTTGCTAGTATAGCATAAAAGTTGGCCAAATGTCTTCAATGAGTAATTTAGATACAGGGTGTCCTGCCTTGAGAAATTGGTTAGGCTACATAATCCATTGTTCTTGTTGCTTTGACTCTGGCCACATTGCATGAAAATGAAATGGGCTGCCTTCCTGCTGTCTACCTGTCTGTCTCTACCTGCCAAGAAGATGATCACTTCTGACAGCACTGTTCTGGTAAAGGAGACTACACTGAGCCATTCCCTCATGGTGCAATATCATAAATTGTTGCTCTTTACTTTACTTCTTTGCTGGGAAGCCAGGAAATGTAGATGTGTCCCACTTGCCATACTTTTCAAAATATAGATGAACCTTCCAAAGAGTATAGTGTCATTTGCAAAGTAGGTGGGATTGTAGATGAAAGAGTCCACCGCAATCTTCGGAACGTGCCAATTTTTCAAAGAACCTGTTGTGAAAGTTCAGCGTAATCAACAATATTATGCACAGCTGTAATTTCATGATTGTTTGTAGGATGTTATTTTTGTCATTTTCTTAAGTGATGCTCTTAAAGAGTTTGTGTAGTTTTGAAATACTGAAGTTTCCCCAAGTTATGAATAACTCTTTCAAACAAAGCACTTTTCACCAGATATATCTTTATCTTCCTAGAAGATCAACCACAGATTATAACCTTCCTTTTGGCCTGTGATTTTTCTGGCCTGGCAAACAGACAATGGCAGACTGAGAATGTGTAACAACAGGACTGTAAGAAGATCATAGAATCATAGAGTTGGAATAGACCACAAGGGCCATCGAGTCCAACCCCCTGCCAAGCAGGAAACAAAATCTGACCCTGTGAGTTTCATGGCTGAGAAGGGATTCAAACCCTGGTCTCCCAGATCCTAGCCCAGCCCTCTAACCACTACACCACACTGGCTCAAGATGATGAAGACCTTGGCCCCAGAGCCTTGTTTCACATTGGATGGACTTAGTCTTTTTTTATTATTATTTTTTTACGTATTTGGCAAGGTGTATACATTGTGGGTTATCTAATTTCAGATGAATGAATCTCTGCTTTGCAGAACTTTCTGTGTAACTAGAGAGTTGCTGACCTTAGTTTTGTCCTGAAATATTGGAAGACTATACTTCAAAACAACAACCACCTTAGTCATTTCAGGGACCCATTTTTTTCATCCATAACTATCTCACAGCTTTGAAAATGTGAATGATTCCTAAACTAGACTGCAGAGGTTACATCAGTTGTACACCCCAAAGACATTGTTTTGTCTCCATATTTCTTTGGTGCCAAGGACTGGCATAAGCATGTGTTGATATACAGTTGTGCAATTACATTCCTTGGTCATCCACCAATGGAGAGTTCATGTACCCTGGCACTGTTATGCTTGTGAGGCTAGTGTGTTTGTGTTCCCAGAAAGATGCAATGCTAATTTATTGTCCATCATGAAAGGGTTTTATTTATAATTCCTTAGCCATGTAGTGAATGCTTTGTTCATTCTGAAGAACATTGCACTGTATCGGTTACTTGATCGGTCTAGATCTGGGTAGTGCAGTTAAATAACTGTTTTCATTTCTCCTTATATCTTTTTTTGTGTTCCTGAAAATATTTTCTCTGGCACAAGAAGTGACACCTAAATTAGATTATTTACCAATGAAAACATTTTCAGGAGATGTGATACTCTTTTGACTTATACATGGGCCCAGGGACCCAGAGTACCTGTGTTCTCTTTCCAGTTATGCTACAGGTTGTTTGTGTTGTACTTTCTCAGTTTTATTGACAGCACTTGAAGACATAAGCCATAAAGCCATAAACCACATTTACAAGGAGACTTATCTATGAAACAATTAAGGTCACAGTATACTATCAGCGCTTTAAGCATGGATAATTTGAGACATTGTAAATGGTCACCTGTGTAGTAGTTTGAGATCCTCAACAGGAAATTGCTTTATCTGCAAATAAGTAATGCAACACTTCTTAGTATCACCGTGAGAATTAGTAACATTAAAGCACATTTTAGTCTTTTATGTAATGTAGCAAATGTAATTGTTTTTCCACTCTGCTTCATGCCGGGATACTGAGGATTTTAAAAATTTTATTTATTGATATTTTATTTGTTGATTTCATAAAATTTATATACCACTTAATTGTTAAAGAAATCCTCAAAGCATTTTGCAAAAATATAAAACAAGAAGATCAAGAAAGAATTACAGCCACAGTTTAAAACATACAAAAGCGAAAATACTAAAGCAGATTAAAATTACCTCAATTTTCTAAGCATCTGGGTAGACTTGTCTGGGTAGACTTGTGAAGGCGTCTGTTTGATTTCAACAGGCAGGTAGTTTTAAACTGCAGGCACTTATAAATGTGGAACGGGTACCTATAAGAGCACCACTTCCGCTGATCAAAGTGGTCAAGTGGAATGTGTAGGGTAAGGTGATCTTATAAGTAAACTGCTCCCAAGTTGTTAAGGGTTTTATTGTTTTATAAATATTGTTAAATCCTCATTTCCTTGTGGTAAACACTTGTCACATGTGTGACTCCAGAGTAAACCAGGCGTTATCAGGTTTAGGGTGCTATCTAGCATTAGAAGCAAGCATTCATTTGATGACAATCCTGGGGCAGTGATGTGGTAACAGAGAATTCACATGGGCCCTCCCCAGAGGACTTAAATTCCTGAGCAGGGGCCCTCCAGATGTTGTTGGACTACAACTCCCCTCATCCTCTTCATCCTTCACCATTGGCAATGCTAATTGGAGTTGGAGTCCAACAACATCTGGAGGACCAAAGGTTCCTATTCTAGACTATGTTTTGAATGGGTATTTAACATGACCACACAGCACCATAGCTCAGTGTTGGATGGACGGACAGATATTCTGACCTGCCATAAGGCACCTTGCTGTGTAGGTATATGTTTTCCCATGTACAAACCCTACAATCCCTACCAAGCCTTATGAGGAATGATGGAAGGAGCTGGGTATGTTTAGCCTGGAAAAGAGGAGAGTGAAAGCAGATGTGATAGCCATCTTCAAATATCTACAGGGCTGTCTCATGGAAGATGGAGCAAGCTTGTTTTCTCCTGCTCTGGAGGGTAGGACCCAAACCAATGTCTTCATTTAGATTCTGACTAAATATCAGGAAGAATTTTATGACAGTAAGAGCTGTTCAACAGGACTCCCTCAGCAAGTTATGGACTCTTCTTTGAGGTTTTTAAGCAGATGTTGGATGGTCATCTGCCATGGATGCTTTAGTTGAGATTCCTGCATTGCAGGGGGTTGGACTATATGGCCCTTGGGGTTTCGTCCAACTCTACAATTCTAAGCTTCATGGAAGTCCTGCACGGCAAGGTCTCTTTATCCACTTTTTCCAGTCTCTGCTGAATGTTTTAAATGGGACAGTATGGGAACTGCACACACAGCACCGATTTATCTGTAGATGTGTCCTGGTCCAGAAAGTGATCAGGAGGTGCATTAGGGAGAAAACTGGCAGAGTTTATTGAGACAGGAAAGACAGAGGAGAATGAAGAGGGCCAATGGCAGACTACTTTATTCAGTATTCCCAAACTAACAACCATTTCTTCTTTTCGATGGAACGACAAAATGCGCAGCAAAGTAATTATTTTCTTGCGGAATAGGCATGTATTTTGTTTGGGTTCTAAATAAAGTGATATGAGTAGCTAACCACAGCATATTGAACCTCCAGAGCCCTTCCTATTTATTGATATCGTGGAAATGGATTCCACAATATGCCCTCCATTTTTCATCTTCCTGGAATTTTCTGGGCAACAGTAAAATGATTTACTCTAGAGATTTCTAGGTCAGAGCTGGCCAATCCATTTCTGTGACATGCTGCCCTTTTTACCACTGCCATGCAATTCCCGTTTCAGTTGCCTTAGTTGGGTAAATAGATATTACAGTACAATCTTTCAACTTTGCTAACTTTTGAATATGATTAAAGGACTACCACTATAATTAGATAAGGTCATACAAAATTATGTGGTATCTTTCAAAGGTCAGTATCAAAAGAAGAAGCCAAAATCTAGAATGTCTTTCACAGTGATTGGATGTGCTCTATTTCTTCATGTACTAGAATTTGGTAACTCACAGTCAGAGGAACAAGCACACGTATTTCAATGAGTTGTTACTATGTTGTGATTTCCCACAAAATGAGAGGCTTTAAATATGGATTGTGACCCAGTCCAACATAGATTAAGTTTCAGGAGCTGCATTGTTTGTGGCTGATGTCTTTTACTAGCTCACCTTGATTGTGAAAGCCTAAACAAGCAAGCAAGGAAGCAAAAAATAGTAATCATATTAAGGATACAATCCTAGACATACTTACCCGGGAGGAACAGAGCAATCCTAAATATAAGAAGCCAATGTCATTTACACCAGTTTAAATTAAGCCGGCATAAGATTTCCATATTCCAAACTCTGTTCAGGAGCAGGGCTCCTGGCAGCAGGAAAACAAACCTTGAGAATTTCTAGCATACCCTTCATACTAAGGTTCACACACCCCAAAGCAACTGCTGGTTGTTTCTGTTCATTTCCCTCCAATGGATATTCTAATGTGTAAAATTTGGGTCTATAACTATAAGTGACTATGATTTTACATGAGTTATATTCTGTAAAAAAGAAAGAAAGAAAGGCGTGTGTGAGCCGGGTCTTCCTTCCTTTGTGTTTATCATTACAAACCAAAATGGTCTCTGCTGTTTTGTCTGTTTGGTGAGAAGTTTCTACATTATATCTAGTCAACATCCTTTATTTCATTTTTACTACTAATGGAGATTTATGCGTTTCTGCTTTCTTTCATGATATACATTTACCAGCAGTATAACAGCCCGGAAATTAATAGTAATAGCAGTTAAACACTTCTGTCATCATTTTAAAGTTCACCAGTGCTTTAAAACTTGTAAATGAGTAATTTCAATCAAGGTTCTGCAATGAGTGTTGGAAACAAGTGAATGTTAAAATCAAGTTTTTCTTTGTTGGATCATTATTATTCTAGATGGCGTTATGATGACAATCTGGATACATCATTCTCTGTAAGTCTAACCATCAGCAAAGTAAACATAAGATGAAGCATATGAAGACTAAATATTAGTATAGTTTATATGTTTAAGTCACACAAATGTAAACACGGTGAAATAAAAAATGTCAGAAAACTTGGCATTAAAACGTTTCTTAAGTAGCTAAAAACCTTTTGCTCTAAAACTGTCATTATTTGCCATCTGTGAGAGCTCATTACATACATAATATAAACCAATACATCAAAAACAGAAGCATTATACATTCATAATAGCATATGGACTCTTTTGTTCCATTCATTTTTTATTGCATTTCTTTTTGTAAATATTTTTAAACTACTGCTAAACTTCTATTTTATTTTATTTGCCTCTAGTTCATAAATACGTTTGGTCCCTGGTTTCCTATTTTGGCATTTAGAAACCCAGTAACTAGTGAATGTTGAATCGAAAGCACAGAGAAAGCAAAATTGCTTATTTGTTACCAGATATTTAGCAGGATCAATGTCTGCTTTAGTAGGGGCAAACTTTAGGTCAGAAACAGACCTGTTCAAATACCACTTGCCTAGCTTGAAGGAAGTCAAGTCAGCAAGTCTGAGAAATGGTAAACAATGAGGAATGTCACAGCTATCTACAACTACCTTTGCAAAAGTCTGGTTATAAAAATTAGAATATATAGCAATGTTTAAGTGCTCAAGTTCTGTCCTGAGGGTGCCTAAGAGATGTCCCTCTCAATTTGTATATAGAGCAAAATATCTATAATAATTCACAGGAGATGCTCTTAGTAACTTCTATTAATCCACTCGAATATCCAAAATATTTTTATGCCTAGGTGTTTTGCCTAGTGATCTCTCTCTTTCCCCAGAAACAGCTTAAGCATCAACACCTTAAAAAACAAAATGCTGTCCTGACACATCTTAAATGACTTCTATATCCTTCCATATACAGTACATGAATCAAATAGTGTGCTATTATTCAATTACAAAATATATTGACATGGAATAGTAATTCACAGTAATTTGTGGCATAGTAATTCATGGGATTGCCTGTTGTTCCTATGACGTTCCAGAAAGTGTGACAAATGGAAGTCTCTTTTGCTGGCGGGGTGGAGGGTAGTACTTTTGAGAAACTGGCAGACACATTTTGACACAGTACTAGTTTCCACAGCTATTCTTGTGCTATTGATTCGACTGATGTTCAAGCATGAGAAGCATGACTCCATTAGGTTGGCATTTGCCTTGCTAGAACTGCCTTCCACTACATTGGGGCCCAAAGAAATTTAAATTACACAGAAATAAATACAACTTAAAAGGGCTAGCATTTGTCACAATGATTTCTCTACATTTTCTCCACTAGTTATGAAAATGTTTTCTAAAACATCAAAGATTTAAGGTTTCACAGGAATGGTGTAGCTACATTCAGTCCTGATGTGATGTCTTTAATAAGACCAACTCAAGCATTTTCTTTGGAACATAAATGATTTTCCTCAGCACTTTTTCTATCTGTATTTCTTATGGAACAACAACAAAATCCACAGTGGGGTGTGTGTGGTATACCATTATAAACGAATTCTGGCAACGCACTGTAGTTTAGTGTACAAAGGCTCTAATGACCAAACAGATCAATTATGGACTTATCAAGGAAGACAGAAATAGCTATGTTTCCCCAAAGCTTTCTATTTACTTTTTCATGTTCCCTCTTAAAGGGCACAAAATTGGCAGTGCCCTAATAGGAGAGGAATGATGGATGGAAGTGCCTGTGTTAGAATGCCAGTTGTCCTAACGAAAAGCTTTTTAGATTTGTAGTTGCCTCTGATTTATTTTTTTAAACTCACCTTCGGCTAAACATTTGCTTCTTTCCAATACTCTTGCGTTGTCAATTATTTCCTTTTTTGAAAAAAAAAATCCATAGAGAATAAATGCATAAACATGAGGACATTGTGCACCTACTACCTAGCATAGAAAGCCTTCGATAAACAAAATGTATTAGCTCATAAACTGCATACAGCACGTTAGGACTGATTTTTTCATTCTTACATCGGTCGCCTGCTGGGACACGAAGCATTGCCCTCTTTTAAAAATGACTTTGTAAGATTGTCATGTAGCCAAATCTGCTGTACTGCACCACTGTAATGTCAAGGCTCGGCATGGTTGGGCATGTGGATGTTGGGATTCCATTCCACCTTTTAGTTGCAGACATGGGATTGTTGCGTGTCACATGTCTGTTTATATTCCAGCACAGAGTGCTGGCGCAAGCGGAACTTCCGCTCTGTATTTTTACTCTCTCTCTCCGAGAAGATGGCAAGGAGAGATGACATGTTTCTTTGCCCTGATTTATGTTTAATAAATGCGTAGTTAGTATGTGTCTACAGCCTCAAGCCTCTTCTGTTGTGCAGTATACACTGCTGAGTAGGAAAACACAAGAATTACCAACTGTGAAAGAATGGCAGATGAAGATGTTGGACTTCATGGAGCTTGCTGACCTCACTGGGAGAATCCGCGACCAGAAAGAAGAGGAATATCAAGAAGATTGGAAGAAATTTAAAGACTATTTGAATAGATATTGTAACATTAAAAATTAGAAGTAACCTGGAAGTATCAATTAGGCCTAGGATTAAATTAGGATTTAATTATTAAATGAAATTTAGAAGGTTAAGAAAAGTTACGAAACTTGACTACAATTGGAATATTGTTTTTGAATAATGATATTGGAAAACTGCTACATTTAGTTACAAGGAAATTCAGATGGGAGGGACTGGAGGAAGTCAAGTAATATGTTTATAAGGTTGGAAGTTTAATTAATTATTAATTTGTATTGTATTTGTTGTTATATATTTTGTTGTTATTTGTTTTATTTCTCTTTCTATTTTTTCTTTATTGGTTTTTTTTTAGTTTGTGTTATATTTGTAAGAAACTTAATAAACATTATGGGGGGGGGAGTATACACTGCTGAGTAAAGTGTGCAAGCTTGAGTCGCTGATGTACGTTGGAGCCAGAGGTCGATGAATCTCTGCAGCGGCAAGGCTGAGAGGGAGACGTTCCAGCTGGGACCGAGCCAGCTGGCCTTTCGACCCCTAAATGCCGACAGTGCCAAGGGCTCACATTCAACAAGCCCCCTGGACCTGCTCATCCTCTTCACCATTGAAACTTGCCTGCTTGTTGACCTGCCTCTCACTCTGGACCAAAAAACAGTGATGGCAAGAAGGAGTAGGCGTAGGTGCTATTGCTAGCTTATTGGCCCTTTTCTGCCTGGAATCCAAACACAGGGCAACAATGATGAGGAAGAGGAGCTACAGCAGCAGCTGGCAATGATGGCAGTGAGAATACAGACTCACAGTGGGAAGGAGCCGATGGAAGGCATCTTGCCCAAGGTCCCCCCGAAAGCTGGAGAAAACCATTAGGTCCATAAAGGCAGCTGTTGCAGCTGCTGCATGCAGTCAGGGCCAGAGCATGGACTTGATGGCAGTCAGACTACTGAGTCAGCAAGCTACTACTACTACTATTACACAGCCACACACCATTCCATTCACTGTACCATCTCTTTTTCCAATGCTAGAGGAAACATGATACAAACGAGTCACTGAGAAAGTGGCAGGCAAGTTTGACAATGCAAGTCAGTGTGATACATTGGTGCAGATAAAGAGTTGGACGAGGAAGGAGAACCTGCCATGCTCATGATAAGCACAACGGTATCAGCCATCGTGAACCTTGACTGAAGTTTGGCTGCATCACTTGGGTTATATGTTTTTGATATAAAGAAATATGTTGCTTTAGATAACTGCCATTTCAATGATGTCATCTCAGTGCTTCAGGAATCTCAGCAGTCATTTATCAGGCAAAGAGTGTGTGTGGGGGGGATCATTTATAATAAATTTAGTGGTAGACACAATGTGCTAGGAAGGTTAGTCCAACACCATTCTGGGGAACAATGTCAGCTTGTTATTCATTTTTCATATGGCTGTGCCAGAAACATCAACTACGAACCCAAATTATCAAAATGCTCTCATATATGTCCTTTCACTAGAGTTAGTGTTGGCTTCAGTGTCTGCATTTTCTCAGTAATGAAGTCACAGTATATATAAACTATGACTGCAGAGCTTGACAAAAATATATTATTATTATTATTATTATTATTATTATTATTATTATTATTAGTTTGCACACAATCTTGTGATTTATCTTTGGTCTAATAAAGCTATTACCCTAATATGAACATGTGGATTTCTCTCTCTCTTATGGATCAACATTGCTACCTTTGCTTTTTCCGTGACCAGAAAAATACTTACTTCTGCCATTCAGTGGGAAGACCCTAAAATGGAGGAAGAGGATTTTGCATCAATTGAAAATGAGACCTTTTTTCTCTGAGGGAATATTCTCCCCAACTGGAAGGTAAAGCTACTGAATTTAGCTTCTATTGACTGTTCTATCCAACTATGTCATACTCAGAGAAGACCCACTGAAATCAGTGGACTTACATTAGTCATGCTCACTATGACTTTGCTAGATATGACTAACAAAGCATACCCTAAAATGCGTATTTTAACCTTACTGTAAAATGCAATCATGCAGCAAATGTATGTTTGTAAACACTTGATGCAATTGTAGCATACAATCCTTGCAAAGTTAAAGTATACATGTATTAAAAGCTGCATTTCTGTGCATGCTTACTTGGAAAGAAGTCCCATTGAATCAACATGCCTGGGGTAATATTGAATGCATAGGATAATATTAGATGGTTCATTAATTTCAAGGGGAGAGATATAATCGCATACATAGTTCTCCTAGCAGAATAAAGGGATTTAAAAAGAGCTCCACTTTGCCTGAAATGTGCCCATACATTTTACTGATTCAGCTAAACCTGTATCTGTTCTTCATTTGATGTTTATTTTTATAGGACACTTTAAAAAAAATCTGACTGGTTGTTTATCTTTGATTCTCCTTTTTTGACCTGTTACAAGAGCTCTTATTATTAGAGCAGCCCATGAGGGCTGTGTTTGTATGAAAATTCTAATAAAAAGAAATCCATTCCTTAGCACTTCAAGGCTTGTTATCTTTTTGAAAGCTCTGAAGTGCTTTTCTTCCTGCTGGGCTTAATGATTTCTGAATCCAATAATACCATAAAGACATTTACTGCCTTCCTACCTTCGCAGAATTAAATGACCAAATGTTGCTTTAAAATTGCAGTACTGTTTAGAAGTCATCCATGATATGCAATAATATTTGAGGAAAAACAAAGCATTGTATGAATTAAATTTAAATGGATTCTTAAGCATGAGTATGGATCATGAAAGGACGGGAGTCTTCCCCAGAGTTTATGGGCTGCATCCAATTATGTTTAACGTAGAGTAGACTCATCCAAATTGAAGGACCTAAGTCTACTCTGAATATGACTACCATTGGAGAAGGGAGGTTAAAAGTGTGTGTTTGCTACAACACTTGCAAAATGTCAGCAGAACACAGGAAATGTGGTCTCTCCCTCAAAAATGCATGAACATTCAAGGTATGAAATGAGACCTCTGATAGTGAGGATGAGGCCTTTGTATTCTTTCTTCTCTGTTGTTTCCAACTTTCTCTCTCAGCATCTCCTTGTCAAAAGCTCCTCAGAAAGAATCCTTTAGTCCTCCAACTGTATCAAGTCAGGATCATAAAGTGCTGGGTTCAGGCTTCTCACAGGATTACATTAACTGCAAGGCAAAATAAAATGTTCACTAATTCCTCCCGCCTCCCCCTCACTTCATGTTCGCATTACCTTCCTCACCTTTATATTTGGAAAATCTAACCAAATCAGCTACTTATAATTTGTGATGCAATTGTTTCCAGTATTTATTTATTTGTTGATGAGGCATGGAGGGGAGTACTTGATAGAGCATGGTTTTCAAGCTATAATTCAAAACTACACGTTAAATGTTTTAATAAAAAAGTTCACATAAATCTGGAAATCTCATAAAGGCATTTTGAAATAAGACTTTGCGTGAAAAGTTTGTATGAAAAGTTTGTTTTATGAGCACTGAAATTTGAAGAACAAAATGTTTGGTTATCCTTAAATGTCTTCCTTCCTCACTGTTGTTTGTTTTTGTCTCCCAGGAGAAAGAAAAAGAGAAACCTGAAGTGCTGCTGCAATCTTAGTTAAAGTACACAAGAAAATGTCTCACACATGAGCTCAAATCTTAGCTTTTTCAAGTCCTTTGCTTTCAATCATTACCTTTAGTATTTAGGCTTTTACACGGTGGGCTGAATTCGGGTCATTATTGCCAGGAACAAGTAGTGATAAAAGCTACATCTAATGAAATCAAACTGAATAGCAAAGTACTTATTTTCTTTTAGGTTAAAAAGGTAAAGGACCCCTGGACAGTTATGTCCAGTCAAAGGCGACTATGGGGCTGCGGCGCTCATCTCGCTTTCAGGCCGAGGGAGGTGCTGTTTGTCCACAGACAGCTTTCCGAGTCATGTGGCCAACATGGCTAAACCGCCTCTGGTACAACAGTACACTGTGACGGAACCCAGAGTGCATGGAAATGCTGTTTACCTTCCTGCCGCAGCAGTACCTATTTATCTACTTGCACTGGTGTGCTTTTGAACTGCTAAGTTGGCAGAAGCTGGGACAGAGCAATGGGAGCTCACCCCATTGCTTCACCTCATCTTTACATTTACACTTTGGAGACAACTCCACTGATTACATTTTAGTTTTCTTATTCAAGGACTGCTTCTTCCAGTCAAATGGAGTGAAAATTTCTGAGCATTTTTATAGGAATTAAAAATGCTCAGATTCTACATGATTGGTGATTCTATAGAAATCAGTGTGGACAAACAGGCAGGACAGCTGCATAGAAAAATAACAGATGAGTGTGACACTAGACTTACATTGCTTGTAAGGTAACGATTAGGGAAAAGTATTGCCCAAAATGACATCAGTGGCTGGGTGCTCACACTGCAGCCCTATATGCCCTTGCTTGGGGATAAGTCTCATTTAATTCAACAAAGCTTACTTCTGAATAGGCATGTGCAGGAGTGCACTGTTATGCCCCAAGTAAGGGAGGTCATTGTGTGCAAGGATGTTTTTGCACAGACAGCTAATGTACATGCACAAGAGGACAAATATTCTCATCTGCATTATAATGTTCACCAAAACCTTAAAGCATACTTTTAAAACATCTTCTTTCCCTCAAAGTATTCTGGGCACTGTAGTTCATGAAGGGCTTCTGGGAATTGTAACTCTGTGAACCATAAAACAAAACCCTTGTTTTTTTGTCCCTCTGCTGCTGTTTTAATGAGCTTATTGTATTTGCTGTACATACCATGCGTTTAAATAATGTACATACCATACACACCATAACATACATTTTATTATTGTTATTTCCCCCAAGGAATCCTGGGAACCATGGTTTGTTAAGGGTGCTGGGAACTAATAATACAAATTTATTAAATAAATAAACTCTGTGAGGGGTAAACTACAGCGCCCAGAATTCTTTGAGGAAAAGAAGGTGCTTTGAATGTGCTTTAAGGACATAATGTGTACGCAGCCTAGGGGTGCGAGCAGCACTGCTAGTATTGTACTCATCATATAATGGATCACTCTTTGTTTTGCGTCTTTTTGTTATGCTTGCATCAACTGCTAAGGGAGATGCAGCACCCGCACATCTCTTGGGAAACGTAAGTGCACACTCGCCAGGAAGTACTCTTTCACAAGGCCCATTGAATGAATTCTTTACCGGAACATACCTGCCTGTATCTTGGCATAAATCTCATTTCTGTTTCAGTAGACTTGTATGGTGAATTGTACCTATTGTGAGAGCACTATTAGTTCAACCCTTCTTTTTTTTTAAAAAAAAGGTCTGTGTGTGTGTGTGTGTGTTTTGCAAGCACCTCTTTGCAAAGTTAAGACGTTTGCCATGCAATCAGATACAAGAGCTCCCTCTGCCAGTATGTTTAGCAGCTCTATTACGTGATAAGCATGGCATCGAATTCCCCTTTGATCCACAGGCCTTCTATTTCACATTCCTTTATTGTTCTGCACACTCACAAAAGCCAGCCTTAAAATTAAACAGACATTTGTACAATAAGCTCTCCATTTGATTTGAAAGCATTCCTTAGACAGATGGGTATATGAGATTCAGTGAGCGACAGGGGAACAATATCGTTTAAAGGTTTTGTGTTTGTGTGCGGAATAAGTGCCTCCATACGCTTGAGACCCAAGTGCTTTGTGCCCTTGGCCAGAAGCCATATCACCTTGGGTTGTGATGGTGCCAGGGCACATAAAGTAAACAAGGCCAGGCCTGTTCAGCAAAGTGTTTGAATGGGGAAGCCTCAAATGAAAGTCCAGGTGCTCTAATACACAAGCTTGATGATTCAGTCTGCAGGCCTTCTCCATTTCGGACAGCTTGAAATTAGTGCGTCAGCTGAGCATTATAAGGGAGGAGGGAAGTATGTGGTTGAAAAACGATTATAGGAAGGGGAGTTGACAGATTTTCAAAGGCCAAAGGCATGCAAGAGGCTATGGGGAAGAATGGTTTCTGAGCATACTGGACATTGGCCTGCAGTGAGAAATCATAAAACACCAACAAAATACGAGCAAAACCCAACATGTGCAGTGAGAAGACAGAACTGATAAGGTTTTTCTACCTAAACCTGCTATAGATATCCTAATGAAGGAATCTTTTCAGGTTACAACTAAGAAATAAAAGACTTTGTTTACATGCTGGTGAACATACAGAGTAGGAGAATGCAAAATTTGTTGGTCCCATCCCCTTACCTCTATGCATTGAAGTTGGAGGGCGGAAATGAATTGTCATCAACTTCTGCCTCCACACATTCATCTGAATGTGTGAGCACTCTTAAGAGGGTTGAATACAGAATGTCATCTCTCTAGACTTCTAGGGGATAAATAACTGAGGAAATAACTGAGTTAGGGCTGAGGTCTTTTGTCCCCCTCCCACTTAGAACAAGGAGGATCTTCTTAAATGCAGGTGCCAATAGCTAAACACAAAGGATGCTCCTGCACCTTCAATAGCTTCCTGGCAAAATCATGAAGTACACCTGCACTGACTGTGCAAAGTTTTAAAGCTTCTTAGACTGGAGTTGTAAAGCCTGTTATTAAAGGTTCTTTATTATTAGGGTAGCAATTGTGGATGTTGCAATGCATGTGCAAGTTACACTGAAATGAGTGCATTTTGTAGGTGAAAAACTAGGTCAGGATTGCAGTCTGAAGGCTTTTCTGATCTGTTTCCATTTTGGCATGAAGTCTGGAATGGAGATGGAAGTGGGGGGAAATTCCATGAAGGATCCTTGCATTTTTTGGCTGAGCTGCTCTTTTTCTCATACACACACACCCCCTCATTCATCTTTATTTTATAGAGATCCGCAGTATGCTGATGAAGGGAAGGAATTGGTAGGAACGCATCCCATAACAGCTGTGAACATTTTCACAAACTGACTCAGTGAACATCTGGGCAAGTCTCAGCAAGAGTTCTCTTTTCCAACTGATATTGCTAATACATACCAAATCAGCAGGGGCTGGAAAACTATTTGCTCCACTATGCTACTAACAAACAAACTTGCATTAACAAAACAACTACGAAGAATCATTTCCTGGAATTTGCCAGGACTTGCTATTCTGCAGAAGCTTCCAGTTTTGAAGGAAATACTACAACAGTTAGGGGAGAGACCTCCCCAAAATAAACACCTCCCTTGCCAAAATTATTTCTCATGAGTCAGCTCGCTGGTTATATATCCTCAATGATAATTGTTGGGTGACTGTCTCATTCCCCCCTAACACAGAGAACCAATGGCTATATGATGTTGTCATTAAGCAGTGGCGGAGCTTCATACTCTGGCACCGGGGAGCGGAGAGCAGGTGGGGGCAGGGCTGGCACGCGTCCTGGGGGTGTGGCACGCTGCCTGTGGGGGCGTGGCACCCACCGCAGGCAGAGGGGGCAGCTGCGATGGCACCCCACCAGGATCGCGCTGCCGGGGGCAGTACGCTCCCCCCTCCTCTTCCTCCGCCAGTGTCATTATTTTTCCTCCGCCAGTGTCATTATTTGGTGTTCTCGAAATGACACTTGGGGCTCTCTCTCTCTCTCTCTCTCTCTCTCTATATATATATATATATATTTGTTATACTCAAATGTGTCTGGATGAAATTACAGATGCCCTGTGGATGAGTGGTTTCTGGATCGAGGAACTGGGTAGACTGTTTTCTTGATGTAACTGAACTCTCTCTGAAAAGGCAGGTACAAAAGGGCTTTTTATGGGGGGGGGTTGCTCCTTGATTCATCATTGTTACCAGAGGCTCAAGCAGCTGTGGTGCCTAGAGCACCTTTTACCTTTACACCAGGGGTCAGCAACCTTTTTCAGCCGTGGGCCAGTCCACTGTCCCTCAGACCATGTGGGGGGCTGGACTGTATTTTTTTTGGGGGGGAGAAATGAACGAATTCCTATGCCCCACAAATAACCCAGAGATGCATTTTAAATAAAAGCACACATTCCACTCATGTAAAAACACCAGGCAGACCCCACAAATAATCCAGAGATGCATTTTAAATAAAAGGACACATTCCACTCATGTAAAAACATGCTGATTCCCAGACCATCCACGGACCAGATTGAGAAGGCGATTGGGCCACATCTGGCCCACGGACCTTAGGTTGCCTACCCCTGCTTTACACCAACCAAAGCAGTTCATAG